TAAATTCTGCTATGCTTTTTATGAGGAAAGATATTTTTTGAAGATATCCCATTCCTTTGATCTTCCTCCACAGATAAACAATTCCCACAGCTCCAAAAATAATTAGATAAACGTATTTTGAAGCACTGGACAGCTGAAAATAGTAATTAATTGATTAATTATAACCTGTAGTAGAAGACCCCCCCCCCCTAATTTTTAACTTTGATCCAAATTTTCTCGGTTTCTGATAAAGATATGAAAAATGTGTCAACTGATAAATTGTTTATCATAATATCCTATACATTTTATGGCAAAAAATTCGGTGGTACAAGGGGGTACAACTGATTTAGGGGTACAAAATTGGTGATTCGGGGGGTACAACAATTCGTGGGTACAAAAATTCGGGGGTACAAACTATCAATGATTCTGGGGTACAACCCATTTCATTTAAAGGTACAACGCTTGTGATTCGGGGGTACAAATTTTTTTGAGGGAGTTTCTGAATTCCTGAATTTCAGAGCTTGAAAATCTTAGAATTCTTAGAATTTCAGAACTTTGGAATTCCAGTATTTCGGAATCTGAAAATTTCGGAACTTCAAAATCTGAGAATCTGAAAATTTCCGAATTTCAGAATCTCAGGACTTCAGAACTTCGAAATATCAGAATTTCAGAACTTTGGAATTCCAGAATTCGGAACCTGAGAATTTCGGAACTTCAGGATCTGAGAAACTGAGAATTTCAGAACTTTGGAATTTCAGTGTTTCGGCATCTGGGAATTTAGGACGACAGAAATTTTTCACTTCTCATTGTCTCTATCTTTTTGAAAATAGAGAACTGTAAAATAAGCTTGACAAATTTTACAAACTCAGGTTTTTAATGCTTAATTTAGGATTAAAACCCAGCCTATACTTTCCTCAACACCAATTTTTCTCAATTCTATTTCATTTCTCTTTGTTTCTCAATTTTCCTTCGTTTTTACCCCAATTTTCCGTTTTTTTTCCCAATTTTTCTCAATTTTCCTCAACTTTCATGGTAATTGAAATTTTTCTCATTTTTTTTCACAATTTTCTATATCATTGATTGAAGAAAACAATCACAAATTAGCAATTTACCAACGAAATTCGAAAATCCCAAAAATTAGCCCAAAATGAGCTATTTTCTCTCGAAATTTGTTCGAATAGGTAATAAAACATTACAAAAATTATAAAATTATTTTTTTTCGACTAATTACCACAAAAATTTGAGCAAAAACGATGAAAAACGAAGGAAAACGGAGAAGCCCGTCCCGGCCCGGCGGGCCTGTCATTCCACAAGTTTTGAAGATTTTTTCGATCAAAAATTTTTTCGAGTTTTTCTTTGATATTTTTTGATCAAACAGACAAACAATCCAAAAAGCACAAAAAATAATGGAGAAAATTGTATTGAGAGCTCAAAATTCGGCTCAAAATGACAAAATGTTTGCTACCGGGCCTTCCGGGCCCGGTCTTTGGCGGGCCGGCCCGGAATTTTACAAGTATGAATTTCGCGAAATTTTCCCGAGGAAGAGAAAACCCCGCAGCTCGGCCACGGCCATGGACTGATGAGGTCATCGCTCGCAAATTTTATTTTTGGGTTTTTCTCCGTTTTCCTTCGTTTTTCATCATTTTTGCTCAAATTTTCGTGGTAATTAGTCGAAAAAAATTAATTTTATAATTTTTGTAATGTTTTATTGCCTGTTCGAACAAATTTCGAGAGAAAATAGCTCATTTGGGCTAATTTTTGGGATTTTCGAATTTCGTTGGTAAATTGCTAATTTGTGATTGTTTCCTTCAATCAATGATATAGAAAATTGTTTAAAAAAGAGAAAAATTTAAATTACCGCGAAAATTGAGGAAAATTGAGAAAAAGACGAAGGAATATTGAGAAACAAAGGGAATTGAAATAGAATTGAAAAAACAAGGAATTGAGAAAAAATGGAAAATTGAGGAAAGTATCGGTTGGGTTTTGAACTTAAATTAAGCATTAAAAAACTGAGTTTGTAAAATTTGTCAAGTTTAGATTATTGTCAAAAAGAACAATGTGACAATGAGAAGTGAAAAATTTCTGTCGTTCGAAATTCTCAGATACCGAAATACTGAAGTTCCAAAGTTCTGAAATTCAGAGATTCTTAAATTTGGAAATTCTCAGATTCTGTAGTTCCGAAATTCTCAGATTCCGAATTCTGGAATTCTAAGAATTCTGAAGACAATGAAGAAAATTTCTGCCGTAATTATTGAAAATTCAGAAACATTGAGATTCTGAAGTTTTGAAATTTTGAAGTTCCGAAGTTCTGAGATTCTGAGATTTTGAAGTTCTGAAATTCTGAGATTCTGAGATTCTGAGATTCTGAGTTTCTGAAGTTCCAAAATTTTCAGATTCCTAAATACTGAAATTCCAAAGTTCTGAAATTTTAAAAATTCAGAGATTTTCAAGCTCTGAAATTCAGGAATTCAGAAACTTCGTCAAAAAAATTGCACCCCCCGAATCACAAACGTTGTACCCCTAAATGAAATAAGTTGTACCCCAGAATCATTGGTAGATTGTACCCCGAATCGTTGTACCCCCGAATCACCAATTTTGTACCCCTAAATCAGTTGTACTCCCTTGTACTCCTAAATCATTGTACCCCCCGAATTTTTGGCCACATTTTATCAGTTGACACATTTTTGATATCTCTTATAGGAGCTGAGATAATTGAGCTCAAACTTGAGAGTGTGGGGGCCCTTCGATTACAGGTTTTACGGTAGTTTAAAAAACACTTACTGAATTGTGTCTTTTGAGTTTTCGCATATTGGATAATAAATAGGATAAAATCTCACATATAACTTTTACGCTTAGCAATAAAGATTCTGTTAGGTGTAAACAAGACAAGATTGTTAAGAGTGAGGAAGGAGGCCTAGATTTCCATGTGTCCAGATGTCCGATTTTTCTTTTGGTTTTTTTTCCTTCCTGGGTCCTGGGTCCTGGGTCCTGGGTTCATGTCATAACATTTTTCAAGTCCTACATTTTGAACCTAAATTTGTCTGAAAATGTTGAGTTTGAAGCGAGCTATGGGTCGAAAACTATATTTTAGTGATCTCTTTTTTTTTTGAATTTTGCGTTATGAGTGATAAGATTCTGTTTCGTTAGGCTTATCACCCTACCATCTATTTGAAGAACGATTCTTGATCGTTTTCTTGTACCGAAAACAAAATGATAAGACGGGATCTTTGTACGAATTTCTGAGAAATGGCGCCATTATCAGTTCGGTATCAAAACTATAGTATGAAATTTGGTTTTTGTGATAAAAATTTTGTATAAAAGAGGGTCAGATAAGATATGTGTTATTATCTTTTTGTTGAGAGAAGATGACTGGTAAGTTTTTTTTTTCAATTAAAAAAAAACAATATAATATTTTTCCAGCTACCGTAGTGGCCACGATGCCAGGAGACGAAGCAGCTGGTAGGTCAAAATTTTGACCTCACATATATCATTTCCTGTCAAAGATATCAAAGTTTTGTCAACTGATAAAATAGGAACCGAGATATTTGAGCTCAAGAAGATGCCATTTTTCCAAAAGCCGTGTTTTTTGTAAAAATGTATATATATATACTTTGAGCTCAATTATCTCGGTTTCTGTGAGAGATATATAAAACTGATAAATTGATAAAATATTGGTCATATTATGATAAATATTTTATCAATTATAAATTTTTTGATATCTTTCATAGGAAACGAGATAATTTAGCTTAAAGTTCAAGCTCAACATTTTTTAGACACCATCAAAAAAGTGATTGGTTATGTGGACCAATGTGTCGAAGCCGGGCAATTTTTGTTTCCCGAAATGAAAGAATCGTTTGAAATAATTTCGAAATTGGGAAAAGCGATAAGCGCTCTGACTGAATTGGCTCCACCAGATGAGGATCCGGTTATGAAGAAGTTGGGAGAGCTGGAAGGCAAAATCGACACTCTAGCTGACAAAATGAACGCCAAGTTCTCGGATTTGAAGGCTTTTATGACTGAAACAAAGTTCAATGAGGATGTGATCCAACCGGCCACTAAACTGATGCAGTATATTATGGACACATTCAAACATCCATCCAAGAAAGCGACGGAGAACTTTTTGGAGTCTTATAAGAAGAATAAACCCTTGGATTTGGCTTATGTGAGTTATCTCGATTCTTATCGAAGATATCAAAAATCTGTCAACTGATAAAATAGTGGTAATTTTATGATAAACAACTTATCAGTTGACCAAATTTCGATAACTCTTACAGGAACCGAGGTAACTCAGCTCACATTTACCGTACTACTTTGAGCTCAGTTATCTCGATGCCTCTTAGCGATATCGCAATTTTGGTAACTGATAGATTGTTTAGCATCAAATGAGCTATATTTCATCAGTTGACAAATTTTTGATATCTCTCATAGGAACTGAACTAATCAAGCTTAAAACTACCGCAGTTTCTCCAATAGAAGTCGTCTGATAAAATAGTGATAATTTTATCATATAGAAAATTCCAGAGTGTAATGAGCAAAATGCAGCAAGACACCACGAACCCATTATACATGTCTATGGAAGCTGACTTGATTAAAACTGAGACCACTTTCAATAAGTGGAAGAATATTATCACTGGAGCACTGGGACAATTTGTGAGTTATATAAAAAATTTAGAACCGTTTGAAAGAGCGTTTTAAGCCCTACGTTTTGCAATTTGAATCAACTGTGAATGTTGAGTTTGAAGCGAGTTATGGGCTAAAAACTGAAGCCTACTTCAAACTGAAAAATTTTATATTAATTTAGCATGAAACTACCTACAACTGCTCTCAAAACCTCTAAAACCCCAAAGTGTATTGGCCAAAAATAATGATTTTTGACGTTTTTAGAGCTTCTAAACACTCAAAACCGTTTAAAACTGCTCTAAACCCCTTAAAAACATAAAAAATCGCGATTTTCCACCATTTTGAATTTTCGCGTCAAGATGGCCTAGTGGATTTTTCCACGGAGTTTTTACCAATCTCAACACCAAAGTTCGATTCCTATGGGGCGCAAAACTTTTTTGATTTTTGTGTGGGCCTCGTAAAATGCATTTTTAGCAGCTTTGGATGTTTGGAACGCTAAAAACTTTTTTTTTGAAAATTTCAAATTTTGAAGTTATCAGTCAATTTTTTTTATCTGAAAATAAAACGTTCAAAATGTCTAAAAACGCATTTTTCGAGATCCACACAAAAATCAAAAAAGTTTTGACACCCAGAGGAAACGAACTTTGGTGTTGAGCTTGGTGAAAATTGGGTGGAAAAATCCACTAGGCCATTTGGACATCAAAACTCAAATTGGTGAAAAATTGCCTTTTTTGAGGATTTTAGCAGGTTTTTCATATCAAGAAACTCTGAAAATGTCGAAAATTGGGACTTTTTTTTTCATAACTGTTCAAATGCCCGGCCGAATTTCGTTCCAAATGTCCAAAACGAATAAAAATGACTTTTCCAAGGTTCACATAAAAATCAAAAAAGTATTGACACCCAGAGGAATCGAACTTTGGTGTTGAGATTCGTAAAAATTGTGTGGAAAAATCCACTAGGCCATTTGGACATCAAAACTCAAAATGGTCAAAAATGACTTTTTTTTTTGGAGTTTTAGGGGGTTTTTGATGATTTTAAGCAGTTTTTTAATGTTTATAAACTCCAGAAATGCATTTTTCGTACCTCAAAAATTTTAGCTATTCGTGGAAGCATTTGCCTCTGGTCTACAGGATTCTAAAGACACTAATGATAGGGACAGAATGAATGAGTGCTCGGCCAACCTTAACACTGATATGGACGCCTTGAGAGATAAGTATAAGGTAGGCTCCTTGATTTTTTGATATGTCCTCCAAAAAAAAACTCCAGGCCGGAGACGCTTACTGGAAAGGGATGAAGACCTATATTCAGCAATTCCAAGAGGATACCTCGAAATTGACTCATAAGGATCGAGCTGATAAGCTTATTAGCATTTTGAACACAATTTTGACCAACGAATCGTTGTACCTGGTGATTTCCGACTCTTCCCCCAATATCAACGACTTCTCCATGTGGAAAGGAGTGGATGACCAGACTGTGGAGTCTTATGAGAAAGGAGGATGTAATATAATAGTGTACAGAAGCAAAAAAGCCAATACGTTGAGTGTCGGTGAATTTTGGGACATGCAGCACGCTTGTGAAGCTTGTGAGACTGGAAAAATCAAGGCGTAAGTTTGGTGCCATTTTTTGATGTTCTGACTTTTAAACCTAATTTATCTTGCTTCATTTGAAAGCTGTCAAAAAATGTTCAACTAAGAAAATATTGGTAATATTTTGATAAACATTTTATCAGTTGACCACTTTTCGATATCTTCTCTTGAAATCAAGATACAGTACTGTACAATAAGATATACAAAAAACGTTTTTTTCAGTGGATTTTCTGCCTAACTGTAACTTTAAAGGCGCATAACTCTTTTCAATAGTTTCCAATCACTATGAAATTTATACCGTTAGATAGGAAATTTTAAGGGCTATCAAACAAGTGTAGCATTTAGATATATACAACGCCGGTCGATAAGATATGCAAAAACGTATTTTTCCGTTAATTTTCGACCATTTTGACAATTTTCAAGAGCCTGGAGCTCGGCTGTCAAATTTACAATCATTTTGAAAATTCCTAGTCAGCTTGATTTCTGAAATACACCAGTTTTTTTCAATTTGGCATTTTTCAGTTTTGGCTTAAAATGACTGAAAATTGGCTGAAAAAGGGTAAAAATAAGCTTGAAAATGAGCTGGAAAGAGCCCCTATATCTCGGTTACTGTAAAAGATCGCAAAAAATTGCCAACTGATAAAATATTGGTGATTTCATGATCAATAATTTATCAGTTGGCAAATTTTTGATATCTTTCACAGGAAATGAGATAATTGAGCTCGAAGTTGGCGGTTATTTTTGGATAGAGCCAAAACTTCCAATTTTCCAGAAAAGGCTCGTGCAGTGGTCACGCTGACACTCTTCATGACAACATCCCCATGGCAAAGTTCATTGTGTTGATTTGGGACGCACGTCATCCAGAAGTACGGTCCTGTTTGACTCCTGGACACGAATGGGGTCCAGGGTACACGATGACAGTGGAGGCTGGTGAGACACCATGGGCCATGAAGATGAAATTAGCTATGGTTGCTGGATTTCCATGAATATTTCGAAAAAAAACACACACATTGTTCTATTTTAAAATAGGTTCCAGAAATAAATTTTCGTTTTTTTTCTCAAAAATCCGGTCTCAAGAGAAACACGATGATCATGAATCAAACCTTATCAAAATCTGTTCAAACGATTAATGTCAACTTTCCGAAGCAGAAAAAGATTGGTTTAGATACAAAGATCATGCCAATTGTTTGAATTTCATCGTAATTTTTTTCTGGTTTTTTCCGATTCTTTTTAAAATTTTCTCTCCAAATATTTCATTGAAAAAATGTTTAAAAAATCAAGTTTATTGGAATTTAATTAAATATATCAAGGAATACAAAAAACAATTAAAAATGGTGAAACAGTAGCACAACCAAAAGTGAATTATTGAATGACTAGTCGATTCGAAAACTAAAAATTCCAAAAAAAATTATTTAAAAAATCCATATTGAGATTGAAAACTGTAGCGTAAAATTTTCCTCCAAAATGCTGAAAATTAAGTTTTTTAAATCAAAAAAGTGGAAAATATAAATTCACAAACCTGAAAAACTGAATGGGAAATTACACATCTGAGTCTTCGTTTTTTTTTCAAATCTGAAAAAAATAACTTTTAAATAAAATTTTGAATCTTCAGTTGTTAAATCTAATTCCATTAGAAATTTTTTAAATTTTCCAAAATTAATTATTTTTCAAAAACAAAAAAAAACTTCAAACTCACCAATTTATGAAAGGAAAGTTGCACATGTGGGTGATCTGAAAAATAATTTTTTTTTTTTGATTTTTTCTGAATCTTCAAACTCATGTACCTTTAAAAATCCCCAAAAAAGATAGGTGGGTTTCAGTGTAAAGTTTTCAGAAATCTGGAAAAAAACATCTTACTTGAAATTTACCAAAAAATAGGACTTACCGCTTTTTAAAAAATTATTCAAAAATAGAATAGAGAATATGAGAATTTTCAAAAAAATATTTAAAAAAAAACATTTTAGACCACCTGAATCATTTGGCAGTCAAATAAAAAACGAATAGAATGAAGATTTTCGGGAATAGTTTGATGGTTTTAAACGGAAATTTTGTATTTGCTTTGGGCGGAAAAAAGCACAAAAAAATGGAGAAAAGTTTCGAAATGTTGACTTTAGAAGAAAAAAAAAGTCGTGATGTTTACCTAACATTGAAGTCAAAATTGAGTACTGTAGGGTACTGTAAGACAGATTATTTGATTAGTTTATACTTTATTTTATACCAGACGAGTATTGCCCGCTTGAATTTTTCCGTGAACTTGTCAACCTACTTTTGCGAACAGAGAAACACCTAAATGCTCCCAAACAGAGGTTTTTGAAGACTCATGACCTCGATTTTCGATATTATCAAAGACACAATTAACGGGCAACATCTAGCTGCTATTTCGAGTAATTTGTGAAATTTTGGGAAATTTTGGCTCAGTGGCGACTTCGCTAGGGTCCGCTAACCGAGAACAAACGGACACACGCACAGAGTTTGGTGATTGTTAATAGTAAAGATAATTCTTTAAGTAAAATACATTTTGAACTTAAATTTAGCTGAAAATGTTGAGTTTGAAGCGAGTTATGGGTCAAAAACTTTATTCTAGTAATTTTTTTTAAGTTTTGTGTATTGAGTGATAAGATTTCGTTGGGCTTATCACCCTAGAATCTATTTGATGAAAGATTCTTGATCGTCTTCTTGTACCGAAAACAAAATGATAAGATTTATCAAACGAATATTTCTGAGAAATGGCGCCATTATTAGTTTACTTTCTTTGAAACAAAAATTGTATAGTATGGAAATTTGGAAAAATAATTCTGTAATTTGAGAATAAAATAAAAATAATTTAATTTTGAATGCATCAAATGAAACAAAGAATTAGGCTTCTAATAATTAAAGATATCCAACAATGAGTCTTCTATAAGTCTTCTGATCCCGCTCATCGGGCGCAGTGGTCGCTGTTAACCAGTAGCCAGGCCCATCAGCTAGTCTTGGACAGTTTGCAGCTCGAGTCTCTTCCCCAATAAAACCAATCATACAAATGAAGCCAGCATTATGAATCGGGTTATCGAATAAGGTTTTTGGGTAGCCCTTGTAGTGGATTCGTCTGAAAATTGATATGATCACAACACATGAGGGACATGAAAAAACTTCTTCTTGAAATCGACAAATTAATACAAAGAAAATGGTTCAAAAACCATCTTTCTAGCAGTTACGGGAGCCGAGATACATGCCGTCAAAGTTTGAGACGCAGACGACCAGACACTCTAACTGTCTGCGTCTCTCCCAAACTTCAAATGACCGTATCTCGGCTTCTAGAACAGCTAGAAACTTGGTTCTTTTTGTGTTTTGGAGCATTTTTCTTCTATTTTTCACTGAAAATGTTTCCTTTATTCAAACCCCTTGAAGAGTTGAGTATTTGTACCCGGTGTTGGAGGTTTCCGCGTTGCTACCAGTGGCACTAGCTGCGCGGCCGTAAAAATTCCGAAAAGGTTAAAAAACCATCGTTCTAGCTGTTCTGGGAGCCGAGATACAGGCTGTCGAAGTTTGAGACGCAGACGACAAGACACTCTAACTGTCTGCGTCTCTCAGAAACTTCAAATGACCGTGTCTCGACTCCTAGGGCAGCTAGAAACTTGGTTCTTTTTGTGTTTTGAATAATTTTTCTTCTATTTGTCGTACTTACGTCGGAATCTTCCCATTCTCCAACGTCTTCACCTCCTGTTTCATCTGTTCCAACTTCTCGGAACCCACTGAATTTGCTTGTGTGCTTCTATAGACTATCACAGAACACTTTCCACGTTTGTAGGACTCTATAAGTTGTCCTTCAACATTCGTATCAATAGCATAGTTGAAATCATCATAGCCTTCATCGTTGAACACGGCTAGGTAGAAGGCGTCGCTGAAAATCTTTGGCTAGTTGGCATTTCTGGCTCTTTCTTTACTTTGTCAGAATATTATTCAGAATATTTTTCAATTCATCAGCTTTTTGTGAGTTGTTCAAATGCTCATGAGTATCCTGATACTCTCCCAGGTACTTTGGCAGAGCTGTCCAATAGGATAGGTCCTTTTTGTAAGCCTCTCTCCAGTTTTCGATAGTTTCAAAAAGCTTCTGTCCTCTACTGGAGAGTCTTTCCGAGTCATAAGTGTTACTGTCTTTGAGCAGACCACTTGCAAATCCTTCGAGGAAGAGCTGAAAATTATTTTTTTATTCCTTCAAATTTACAGTAAGTGTGTGTGTGTGTGTGTGTACTACAAAAACTACAAAAACCTCTTTTTTGGGAACATTTAGGTTTTTTTCTATTCTCAATGGTAGTTGCCCCGAGAAAAATTAGCTCAAACTTGACAGTGTGGGGGTGCCCTTTTATTACAGGTTTTACGGTAAGATGGAATCGACTTACAAATTGTCCAAGTACCCCATTAATGATATCGTGCCACTTATCAAAAGTTGACCTTGTTTTTAGGTTATCCGCGTCCATTGCCATTTTCAACGGGTTTGTTGTTGGTCCCTCGAGAAGGCTTAGAACGCTCTGAAAATATCGTTTATTTGGAGCTGAATTATATCGGTTCCTGTGACAGCTATCAGAATTGTGTCAACTGATAAATTATTGGTGATATTATGATAAATAATTTATCAGTTAGAAATTTTTTGATATCTGTTACAGGAATCGTGATAATCGAGCTCAAAGTTGATAAACTCACATAGGCTAAATCCAATAGAGAATTTTTATCATAGGCCTTTCTGAAGTTTTCAAAGGCCTCCGGCGCTGGGTTTGTCAGGCAATCAGCCATATATTTGGTCAACTTGGAGGTTGGTGTTATCACTTCGTCTTGGAAATTCATCTCAGTTATAAAGGCTTTCATATCGCCAAACTTGAGGTTCATTTTGTCGGCGAGCTGAAACATATTTTTATAGGCCAAAACAACTGATTTAGGGGTACAAAATTATGGTACAAAAATTCGGGGGAACAACGATTCGGGGTACAAACTGACAATGATTCTGAGGTACAACTTATTTCATTTAGGGGTCAAACGTTTGTGATTCGGGGGTACAAATTTTCTGACGAAGTTTCTGAATTCCTGAATTTCAGAGCTTGAAAATCTCTGAATTTTTTAGAATTTCAGAACTTTGGAATTTCAGTATTTAGGAATCTGAAAATTTCGGAATTTCAGAATCTGAGAACCTCAGAATATCAGAATTTCAGAACTTCAAAATCTCAGAATCTCAGAATTTCAGAACTTCAAAATCTCAGAATCTCAGAACTTCGGAACTTCAAAATTTCAGAACTTCAGAATCTCAATATTTCTGAATTTTCAATAATTACGGCAGAAATTTTCTTCATTGACTTCAGAATTCTTAGAGTTCCAGAATTCGGAATCTGAGAATTTCGGAACTTCAGAATCTGAGAATTTCCAAATTTAAGAATTTCAGAATTTCAGAACTTTGAAATCAAAGAATTTCAGAACTTCAGAATCTCAGAATTTCAGAAGTTTGGAACTTCAGTATTTCGGTATCTGAGAATTTCGAACGACAGAAATTTTTCACTTCTCATTGTCACATTGTTCTTTTTGACAATAATCTAAACTTGACAAATTTTACAAACTCAGTTTTCTAATGCTTTAATGTTTCTCAATATTCCTTCGTCTTTTTCCCAATTTTTCTTAATTTTCCTCAATTTTCGTGGTAATTTAAATTTTTATCTTTTTTAAACAATTTTCTATAACTTTGATTGAAGGAAACAATCACAATTTAGCTATTTCACACAAAATTCGAAAATCCCAAAAATTCGCCCAAAGTGAGCTATCGAAAATTGTTCGAACAGGCAATAAAACATTACAAAAATTGTAATATTAATTGAATTTTTTGTCGACCAATTACCACAAAAATTTGAGCAAAAATGATGAAGAACGAAGGAAGACGGAGAAAATCTCGGGAATAAAATTTGCGAGCGATGACGTCATCATTCCATGGCCGTGGCCGAGCTGCGTGGTTTTCTCTTCCTCAAGAAAATTTCGCGAAATTGAGATCTTTTCGCAATTCCCATTTTTCTCCGTTTTCCTTCGTTTTTCATTATTTTTGCTCAAATTGTTGTGGTAATTTATCGAAAAAAATTAATTTTATAATTTTTGTAATGTTTTATTGCCTGTTCGAACAAATTTCGAAAGAAAATAGCTCATTTTGGGCTAATTTTTGGGATTTTCGAATTTCGTTGGTAAATTGCTAATTTGTGATTGTTTCCTTCAATCAATGATATAGAAAATTGTTTAAAAATGAGAAAATTTAAATTACCTCGAAAATTGAGGAAAATTAAGAAAAATTGGGAAAAAACGAAGGAATATTGAGAAACAAAAGGAAATGAAATAGAATTAAGAAATAAAATTGAGAAAAATTGGAAGTGAGGAAAGTATCTACTGGCATTAAAATCCGTTTGTAAAATTTGTTAAAATCATTTCAGAGTTCTCCATTGTCTTTCTTGAAATAGTGAGATTCTGAAGTCCTGAATTTTTGAAGTTCCAAAGTTCTGAGATTTTAAAGGGGGACTCCGACCAAAAATTTTTATTGCATTAAAATGTGCTAAAATTTATCTATTTTTCGAATATTATTGCGAAAAAATTCAAAGAAAATCCGAAATCCCCGAAAAACGGCGTTGAAAAGGAAGAAAATTCAAAAAAAGGTGCCGCCGGGGGACGAGGATTTTCAGTGAGAAACCTAGGTCACGGCACCTGACAGCCTTTTTTTCAAGTCGCCGACAGTGGCTTTTTACGTTTTTTACCTGCCGGACATGAAATTGAAAAAAATCCGGAAAAATTGCCACGTAGGAAAG